GAAACGATTTCATGAATTGGAGTCAGATTCAGCAGTGCTTTCAAGAAAGGTTTTGAGATGACTGGAGGTACCTCTGTGGAAAATATGTTTCCAAGGAGGTCTCCCTGGTATTGTACCGCAGCCCGTACGCACTTATGTCTCTGGAAAAACACCTTTCTCCTAACGTAGACGTGAAGACAGATCAAGAGGTGAGCTAGCTTCACATAAACTTCTTCATGGCTTTCTTAACTTATAAGAAATGGGTGCTTGGACTCATCTTCTCATGTTTGGAATTTGGTACCCATATATGTGTCCTCCTACCTTCATCACTGCTGCTGGATAAGAGTAGTGGTTGCTTTTGGATCTAAATGAAAATGTTTACAGAGAAATAACATTTTCAGCACATTTTCTGCTCTTCAAGACAGAGAAAAAGCAAACAGTTGGAAATGCAAAATATTTTTACTAAAGGAATTGGCAAAATTAAGACTGGTCTGGAAAACTATACCAAATATACTACTTGAAATCCTGAATTTTATGTTAAACCATAATTTTTACTCAAAAGTATTTTAAAAGGTTTTTGTTTAGAGTTTCATATTTCTGTTGAAAAGCAGAAAATATTCATAAGAAATTTCATTGGTTTGTTGTTGATGATGTTCAAAGAAAAGGTACGTTTACCACCTCTGTCCACTTCTTCTGCATATAGCCTGCTGCACGTGGGTATGAGGTTTCCCATTGCACTCGGCAAGAGTTGGGTTGATGATGGGGAGGGGTAACAGTGGCCATCGCCGTCCCTGTCACCTTCACTCATTTACACCTGAACAAACACTGCTCGTGTGTGTTTGGCCTCCGTGTTCCCATCATGTATAGGGTACCATGCTGAATCTCCCTCATTTACGGTGGCAGCACTTCCCGATTCCTTCCCATCTGGTTCGCGTCGCATGAATCCAAACTGTGAGCATCGCTAAGGCTTCCCAGGAGTGCAGACTCAAAGGTGGCTTCACACGGGTCCAGGAGCTGCTGGATTTCCCTACCAACCCTTCACCACCATGACCGTTTCCCCCCAGTAACCAGACTCCCCCACTTTGGGGCTCAGTGGCTTTGTGTGTTGCAGTCCCCAACGTCCCTGATGACCGGGACCAGGCAGCGTCTTTCTTCCAAAAACAGGCAGGGTGCCCAGATAACCAGGAAGAAAGGGAAAGAAGCAGCTCCTACTGATAGGAGCAAGGACAAGAGTACAGAAGGAAAGTCAGCCATCTGCTGAAGGGGCTCCAAGGCACAGTTTAGTGATTGGGACCCTCAGCTAGAAGCCAGGAGGCTTCCTCCACGGTTTTGCCAAATTTTTCTACTCCTTTCTTCAATCATCTGTTGGAGATACAAAGTTCTCTGAAACCTTCTTTAGGCAGGGAAGTATTTCTTACCATCCTAAGAGCAGCCCACATACCTTGGGGATCCTGGGGCCAAGGAGACCTGGACTTGCAGCACAGCTCTAAGCCTGCAGTGGATGGAGGGAAAAGGTGACGCGGTGGCACGGCTGTTCCGTGGGATCGAGGAGCATATCTATATGGGGGATACTGTGGAGGGGAGCTGAACCCCTCTGTGTGTCCCAGCCTGGCTGTAGGGATGGGATGTGAGACCCCCCAAGTTGGCAGGGCCTTCTGCTTGTCCTGCTGCAGCTGGAGCTGACTGGCTAATAGTTGGCCAGTGCTTGTAGTTTTGGCTTTCTCCTTCACAGATGAAATGAAGTAATTCACACAGTGATATTTATAAATGAGGAGGCACTGAGATAGTCTCTGCTGTCACCGGGAATCTGAGGAGCAAATTTTGTTACTGCTCTTGGACGTGGTTCCGAGCTTGGCGTGCACCCTTCGCCTCCCTCTTACAATTTGGGAACGTCATGCGGAAGAGCAACAGGCATTGCTGTGTCTCTTCCCCTTCTGACACATCCTAATGAGTGAGGATCACAAGGCTTTCAGCTGCCTCTTCAGCTTGAGACCAAGATTTTGTCTTATCAGCTCGCCACTGCAGCCGGTCAATTAAAGCCCAGTTTCACAAATGCACGAAGATAACACAAGCCGACAGACCCACTTAAATGACTGAACCCCCCCTTCTTTTTTTAATTTATTTGTTTTTTTCCTTCCATCCAGTAGCGTTTGCTTTCTGCGAGGGTGGTGGGGACAGTTACAGTGCCTCGTGTCAGTATGATGAAAAGATTTCCACTTAGTCTCAGCCCCTGTGGTTATCATTTCAGACTGGCAAACAGACGAACTTGGCGGATACAGCTGTTGGGGGGAAAAGAAAGTCAATCCTGGTAACAACACGTAGTGCAAATCCTCATTTCAAAAGCTACTCCTTAAAATTTTGGTAAGGAAAAACCTCATTTTAGGTTGAAACACGGCCCTGCATCATTTCCTGCGCTCTGCTAGCAGCGTGACTTGCCTGCTTGTTTAGCTGTTGCTGCCATTAATGGGAGAATAATTTCCTCTGGATACATTTGGATAGATTTTCATGCCTTTCTTAATTATGTCTTGCTAAGGGCAAAAGTGCCGCGAAGCGGTGAGGTTAATGCAAAAATCTGTTGATTCTAACATACCTGACCTGAAGATTCATAAAAAGCCAATATCAATTTCCCTCCCTCTACCATCATTCAAGAACAGTCTGAACAAGTGGCTTTGGAGATTTATCCCTTATTGTCAAAAGAAATAGAACTGTTCTCTTGTGCTTTGCTAAATGCGCCGCGGCTCGTGCAAAGCTGGCTCTGCTCAGCAGGGAACGCCGCGTCGCGCGCGGAGCAGGCAGAGTTCACTGGGAGGCTAAAATTCACTGGGAGGGAGGGAGAGGACGTTTCCTCCTTCGTGTCCCATCGTCTGATTTGTCAGAGTGGATTTTCAGGGCGATGGCTCCAGGTGCTGCGCAGCGTTTCTGTCGTGGAGATAAAAGGTCATTGGATTTCACGTTTCCCAGCAGTGACAGACCGCAGAATTATGGCCCCGAGTCGTTATTTCTAATCATCCTGACTTCTCGAGACAAAAGTGTGTCAGCTATTGTTAACTCTCTCCTCCGAGGGATCTAAACCTTGCCTGTCGCTGTTAAAGTCAAGCTCGTGGCTGCCACCATCTGTGCTGTCCCTCCTGCCCCCAGGTTCTCCTGCAGCTCGGCAAGAACATCCATCCACTCTGCTTACGCCGAAGCCTTTCCGAGCAAAAATCCCCCCAACAAGGTCCCCACCCTCCTGTGTCCAGGGCTGGAGACATGCCTGTGGGCTGTTACTCATACTTCCCCTGGGTCTTCTCCCCTGACCCTGAACTCTTCATCTCCAAACCTCTGCTTGTCCCTCCCAGTAAGTCCATCCATTGCTGCTGGTTGAGCCTCATTATTGGTGGGACGTGTGGTTTTTGAAGCCCTTCCTTATACATCGCTCTGAGGTTGCTCTTTTTGTTTCCTTCAACCGTTTGGACATGGTCTGACAAGGATGCAGGGATGGGAGGGATCCCCAGTGTATCATCACTTGCATCTTGTCATCTGGTTTAATCTGTGATCGAGATTAAATGGATTCCTCCTCTTTGCCAGCTTGGAAAAACTCGCCTGCTGCTGCGCGCAAAGGGAGAAATTCCTTGCGTTTCGCCTTGTCCAGTGCTGTTTGTTCAGAGCCAAACCCACCCCCCAACATGCCCTTTCAGGGGGGTGAGTAGATGTGCTCCAACAAGGGTAGCCTTGGAGGTCCTTCCTCCAACGCCGTGCTGAGTTGGCGACACGCTGATCTTTGCCCATTGCTCTAAGGGGCTCAGCTTCACGCCGCTTCTGCATCCGTCCCCTGTCAGCTGCTCCATGGAAAAAAAAAACAAACCAGGATGCAATTTCAAATGAGCAGCCTCGCAGCTGCTCGGGGAAAGGCTGGAGGTGAGCAGAGGCAAGGAAAGGGCAGCGCAGGGTTCCCGGCGACCCGTGTTCTCCTTATTTCACAAAGTGCTCCTTCAGAATTGCGTCCAAAAATAATCTCGACATTAGCAAAAATTCATCATCGCAGGGGATTTTATGGCACAGCTGTGGCGGGGAAATTAATTTAAAAATTCTAATAAATGCCACAATAGAATTGTTAACTTCTTGTCCTCTCTAACGTGTGAAATTCTTTTCAGAGCATTTCAAAGACGCCGTCACCCATTTACACATACATTAACGCAATTGCTAAAATAGACTTTGCCTTGGCAGTTTCATTTTCTTGAGGGATGAACAGAATAAGCATTATAAATTTCTGTTTGGGGCTCTGGTTTTGCTTTTAATTTAATTTTTGTTGCCACCAATCCTCAACAAAAGAATTTGTTACCCAACACGACAGATAAAAGCTACCGTGTCCACGATGAAATACTTCCTGGCAAGTGTGCTTACTCACGTTAGCGTGGGCTTCTGGAGACATTTGTGATGAAATACTGGGCAGCAGGAAGACGTTTTGTAGATAATCTGTCACTGAGTCTTTAATTAAAGTTTTAAATTATCACAGCTGATACAGATTTCAA